CTTTTAAAGACAAGAATCTGAAAATGTAATTAGGTCATTTTGACTGAATTTGACTTAATCCTCATTTCGATATGAAGGGTCACATTTATCTTCTTCATGTTTAACTGCACGTCCTGTTGATTCAAGGCTTTATGAACAAAAAACTCAAATAATTTGGAGTCAATGATTCTACAAAGTGAACAATTATTTACAAGTGGAAAAACCAACAGCTGCCAGCAATTCACCCACCAGGTCAGACTGTGTAATGCTCTGAGAAATGACCTGGACCTTCATCTCAGACTCTGAAGGCAGGTGAGACCAAAGAAGATGTTTTTACCCAGAATGCACTGCGTTCTGTTTGGAGAAACCCAAACACAGCAGATCAGTTGTGAACGGACACTTGAGACCAGATCTGAACCAGAAGAACCTGAACAGACCTGATCCTGTTTTACAAAGTCCTGACCCGGGAACAGGGTGGGACATGTTGGACAACAGAACAGTCCCACTGAAGCTAAAACTGCTTTAACAACACTTATCTGTTACTGTTACTAAAGGATTTCAACCACAGATGTGTGTTTTTATTTAAACACCACAGAAAATAAATAAGTGCACAAAAAAAGTATTACAATTAAAAATAAATGCTTTTATATTTTTGTCAAAAGGGGTGAGAATTATACTTATCAGTAATCTTACTGCTCATTACATGTTGTTTACAGTGATTTGAGTATGAACCAACACAAAGTGTACACTAAGACGACAATAAACACACACAGTGTGTTTTCCTTCCTGTGGGTTTCAGTGTCTGGAGCAGTGCTTTCATGCTGAGGGGAACGGACTTTCTTTAGACGTTCTGCACTCTGATGAGTACAAGGTGAGCAGCTGCAGCTCGGTTCATCCTGATGTTCATCAGATGAAGACTAAACAACATGTTCCTCATGTAGAGTCTGAAGACTTTCCTCACACACAACTCTCTGAGCAGCCAGCAGCTCCTCGACAAGTTCTTCAAGAAAAAGATAACAGAGCAGGTGAGTTTCAAACAGTCCACACACACACACAGACACACACACACACACACACACACACACACACACACACACACACACACACACACACACA